GCGCCACTGACGCTGCCGCAGCAGCAGAGGGGGGGCAGGGGCAGGAGTGGGGGGATGGAACCCCCGGGGGTCTCCGCCAAATGGGCCAGGGCTGGGAGCCGGTCAGAGGAAAGGGCTGGCATGCCGGGGGGGGAGGGGCAGAGGGAAAGGGGGAGGGAGGGGCGCCTCACCTGAGAGGATGATGGGCTCCACCTCGTCGTACTCCCGTAGGACCCAGACAAAGAGCCGCGCCAGGTCCTGTGGGCACGAAGGGGCAGCTCGCAGTCCCTGCTCCAGCCGCCATGCTCCAGTTCGGGGCTATCAGAGAGCCCCTCTCCCCGGCTCGTGCACAGGGCTGGATGTGCAAGCTGGGATCTTACCAGCTGGGCGCGCTGAACGTGGCCACAGGCTGTCCCCGAGAGCAGGGAGCGAACAGCAAACCTGGCCCAGGGGCCTACAGGGACAGCCTAGGCATATGCCAGCGTGGGCTCACGCAGGGCTGCATGGCTTCAGAGCTCCCTCTGCCAGACTCCCCATCTGAACACCCTCCCCCCCACGATGGAAGTGGGGCCCCGCCAGTCCAAGGCCAGCACCCTCATTCACAGCCCTGCTAGCGGCTGCCAGCCTCCCAAACCTCTGGAATTTGCTCCGGGAGAGCAGGGCCGGGTCTGAACGGGCTGGACTCCGTGAAGGGGGCGCCTACCAGAGAGTAGATGAACTGTCTCCTGGGCTTTCCCGTCCCCCAGACCGTGAGAGCCGTGCCGTTTTCTGTAGGGCAATGACAAGAACGGCCATTAGTGGAGGTGCCACTCGCAACACTGGCCTGGCCCCCCACAGGCCCCGGTGCCCACTACGCTCAGCCAAATACCCTCGAATGCACACCCAAAGCCAGCCCGGGGAAGCGCTACATCACAGACCTCTCAAACCCAGGTGCAGCCCCCAAAGACCACAGGTCCCAGCGTGCCATCCTCCAGCTTGACACAAGGGGCTGCTAGTTGCCATGGCGTCGGACTGGCCCTTCTCTTTCCTCATTGGCTGGGATTCCAGCCTGGCCCCTCGACACTGCACGGAAATCGTTTGCTAGTGTCACTCCTGCTGGGAGAGGCAAAGCCCAGCCTAGAGCCAAGCGAGAAGGGAGGAATCCAACTCTTGTGGCTCTCAGGAACTTGCCCTCCAATAACTAACTCCTGGGGGAATTCTCCACCACTGCGCACGTGCATGATTAACAAGCTGTGCATATTTGTAATTTTTTTGCACAGAAAAAAAGTGTCGGCAAATGGCTGCAGTTCTACCTATTGCCCCACAGAGGGCGCTATTTCCCCCGCCCCGCCCCGGGACAGAGCCACCCCTGCAGAAAAGCCCTTTGGCTGGAAAGCTGCTGCTGTTCTGCCTCTTGCCCACCAGAGGGGGCTCTAGTGACCCAGCAGGGCAGCAGCACCAGCCAGGTATGGAAGAGAAAGCGCCTGCAGAGCCCTCTTCATAGCGCCTGTCAGGCCACGTCAGGGGCTACGGGGAGAGACAGCAGGCAGCTGCTGGGGGGGCAGTTAGGGGCTTATAAGGGTTTGTGGGGGAGCACTGGGGTAGGGGCTGAATGCAAGTGGAGGTGCAGGGCAGGGTTCCCTCTAATTTTTCCCATCCAGGTGCAGAATCATGTTCATATGTGCAGCAAGGCAAGTGCACCACCAGTAGACACACAGGCTGCCAGCGGTGGGCACTCAACTTCCAGGGAGCACTAGTGCAGGACCACATAAGTATTGGGGGAGTGGGTGTCCAAGTGCAGGTGGAGACACATGGAAAGGGGGTACAAGGACACATGGGGGTGCTCGGACACACGAGGACAGGGGCAGATGCACCTGTCTGAATGAGAGGGCCAGCCAGAGTCTGCATGAAAGAAGCTCCCTAAAAATCCCATCCCTTCCCCCAAAAGCACTGGCCCATACTTCTCCCACCCCACAAAGGTCACACACAGACTCCTTCCCAGCTATGATTCCCTCTTCCTCAGCTCCTCCGTTACCCCAACTCCTCCCAGCCTTTGCACTGCTTTTTTTTTGGGGGGGGGGGGTTTGCAGGAAATACGGGTCTGTACTGTAGTTTCAATGAATTATTACTCAGAGCTCTGTATTAACACACTTAGTAAAAAATCTATTTGTCCTGGATTTTCCTTGTTGCTTGTATTGTGAGATATACTTGCTGACTGATATTCTAGAGTAAACTACCAAAAATTATAGAAACCGGTGGGATTATATTGTGTTATTTTGACAAATATGCAGAATTTTGCAGAATTTGAAAATACCGCAAGCACAATCTTTTATTTTTTGGTGCAGATTTTCCCCAGCAGCAAACTATAGCAGAAACTCTGTTAGCAGCCCTGCAGCTAGGGCTGCCCAGCCATGTTCCCTCCAATCTTTTTCATCCATGTGCAGAATAAATGTTATGTGCACTGAGCTATGTGCAAATGTGCACCCCCAGTAGAAACAAAAAACCTAGCGGTGGCCAGCATCTGAATCTCTCCTGAGTAGCTGCACAAGCCCCCAGTGTACAGGGAACACTCACTAAGCAGGGAGGTTAGTTATACCATAAAAAAAACCACAAGATCCCAACGGCCAGGTGCAAAGAACAGAAAGACAAATGGATTTTGCTAACCAAATAATTTGCAGTAACCTCTTTCAGCTGTGCATCTTAAAGCACATTACCAACAGCAGCCAATTAACTCATATATGAGGAAGGGAAGGAACACCGGAGGATCCATTCACCCACTGCAGCAAGCTCTGGGGTGGAACACAGCACGGGTGTAACACACAGCAGCATTTTCAGACAGGTCGGGATAGGATACTAAGAACCTCACAATTTCATTAGGAACAAAAAAGTCACATGACTTTCCTCCGCCAATAGGAAGGGTCTTTGCTGCCCATGCTGCTCTAAGAGGAACACCCCATTGGCTGGAGTATAAAGCTGAGACCCAAATGAAGGCCCCCACTTACTCTTTGCCAGGTACACCTTGTGGATCAGTCCCGGCAGGACGTGCCCGTCCTCGATGTTGAAGTTATCGTGAGGCCCGAAGACATTGGTGGGGATCACGGCGGTGAATCGCCAGCCGTGCTGTTGGAAATACCCCCTGGAGAGGGGCAGAGCGCCAGGGCCGGTGAGTCACTCGCCCAGTGGCATGTTTCGGGCAGCCGAGGGCTGTGAGCACACGAGTCGCTGTCCCCGCTCCGTGGACCAGGGTCTAACCCTGTTCCTCCAGCCGGGCTTAGGGAAACGGACAGGGACTGGCCAGCCTCTCTAGGGGCAGCTGCCTGCTCCAACCCCTCCCTCCCTGTGCCAGAGAGCAGAGGAAGAAACTACCCAACAGCAGAGCCATCCCTGTCCACAGGATGAATCAGGGCGGCTGCCCCAGACCCTGCACTTTGGCAGCCCTGCAGCAGCTGCTCTAGCCCTCCTAAGGATGGGAGGGACCTGGGGGATTATGGGGCTTGGCACGGTGGTAGCAGGGGTCACTACACTGGTGGCGAGAGCCAGAGCGCCTGTTGCACCCCACCCTCTCTCCCGGCCCACTGCACCCGGCTTCTCCGCAGTAGCCACCATGGAGAAGTGGGGCACAGTGGCCTGGGAGGGTGGAGCAGACCAGGCGGCTGGGATCCAGCTCCTGCGTTGTGTGCGAGGCCCCTACTGCCACTGTGCCAGGCCCACTGTAATCCCCTGGGCCACGCTGCATGGGGAAAGGGGGCAGAGCTTGTGGGAGGGGGTGGAGCCTATGGCGAGGGGGTTGCCACAGGCCCCCCCCCCCCTTGGGATGGCCACACCCAAGTGTGACACTTCTGACCAATCAGGAGCGACATGATAATGTGTATACACAGTCCTGCCTCTGGGGATCACGGGTCTGTTCGGAGATGTCGGGACTGGGTCGGTCCCTCCCCAGAGCCAAACAGCCTGGAGCTGGGGAGGAGCTGGACCGTACCTGTTCTGAATGTCGATCATTCTCTTGGCGTACGAGTACCCGAAGTTGGAGTCGTGCGGGGGCCCGTTGTGAATCTGGGGAGACGGAAACAGGGTTTCAGCCTCTGGTGCCTCGCCCCCGGGAGGGAGGCGTAGGGAGAACAGACTGACGCTAGGTCTACACTGCAGTTAAGCCGGGGGCTCGACACCCAGGTTAGCCTCACCTGTGTGCGAGCATCCCCCAGCAAAGCCCCCTCCCCCGCCCCCATGTGCTCGCGGTCTCTGCACTCGCCTGTGTGCGTTTGGGGCGTATCCCACAGGTCTCCGTGCCCAGACGCTCTAGGAGCCTTTCCTCGTCCATCAGGTCAATTGCAAGAGAATGTGTCTGTGCTTCAGGAGGGGATTGTGGGAAGGCGCTGGAGGACTACTGGCTCTAACCTAGACTGTACCCCCGCTGGGACAGCTAACCCAGGCTCCACACACCCCAGGGCCAGCCAGAGCTTTCTGTACGAGGAAGGGGCTGGTGTGAAGGCTGGCACCCAGGAAAGAGCCCAGATTAGCTGCGCGGTGCAGACACACCCTGAGTTTGGAGTGGGAGAGCAAGAGCTGCAGGGGGTACTGCCAGCCCTGGGCTCAGCTCACATCACACAGGCCATAGGCAGGCAGAGATGGGAGAAATCCTCTATGTGCCCTGAAGGCTCCTTATTCCTCTTGAGCGCCAGGCCCTGCGGATCCTGCTCGTTTGGCCAGAGGGATCGCTGTCGAACGTGCAGGCACATCAGTGCAAGGAGCGAGGGACAGCCCCTCCCCCCCCGTCAGGGCAGAGCGCTCTCACGCGGCCCCAGGCTGTCCCTACCATGGTCTCGTCGATAGGGTAGGTGGTCTTGTCCGGGAAGATGCAGGTGGAAAGGCAGGAGACGACTTTCTGCACGCCGAACTCGTACGCCGAGTGAAGCACGTTGTCGTTGATGTGCACGTTTCTCCGCTGGGGAAAGGTCCACGGGGCGTGAGCCGTCATGTTCTACCCGGACCCGTTCCTGCACGACCCACCCAGGTGGTGATGTTGCACCCCCATGCTTTTTCTGGAACTGGCTCCTCCCAGGACTCAGGTCTGCACCCTCCCTTGTAAGCCACCTCTCGTGGCAGTGGCAGCTCTGGACAGAGACATCACACCAGGGCCCACAGGTCCTGCCAGAGGGCTTTCACCACCCCCTCTCAGGGAGTTCAGCTGTCCCCTTCCCCATTCAGACTTGCACAGCCCTTTAATACAGTGACTCCTCAGGCACAGCCATTGCACCTGCAGGGAGGCCAGGAACAGGCCAGATCCACAGGCAGGTGAAGGGAGATCAGACAAGGAGGAGACACATATGCAAAGAGCAAACCAGGAGGCCACACACAGCCCAGGCAAGGCCTGTATTGGCTCCATACTCTTTAACACAGATCCAGCCCATGAAGACTACTCATCCCAGAATGCAATGCTCCACCAGGAGCAGCATAGACACAGCTCAGCTCAAGGAGGAGCACTGCATGCTGGGACTTGCAGTCATCCTTGAGCTGTCCGTCCATACCACTAGCAAGGTGACTGCAGGCCACTGAAACACATGAGCCAGCCCCAAGAAATCAGACCAAGCTGGGCTGAGCTAGGGGTGTGTGTGTGTATGCATGCGCAGGTGTGTGATTCAGAGAGACGGGGCAGGGGGGCTGACCCAGCTGCTAAGAAGCTGCACCCCTTCACCTGTGAGAGTCACCAGAGCCTGGACAGAGCAGAGTCCCAGCCAAGGCCCTGCTGTTAAACTCCTGATGCAGGGCTGGTGCTGGGGACTCGCCATTAGCCACACAAGGGGCTGGGGGAAAGCAGTTCCCCGTTCATTTCCGAGGCCCACATATCCTGGTAACTCGACCAGAGGAGTCCTACCTGCAGCACCAGAAGGCCCAGCACCCAAGGGGTTAATGACTTTCTCCGCCCATTTAATAAACCCATTACTGGCACTGCCACACAATCAT